AAATCCCGATTACAAAGTTTCTCTCTTATAACCGGAAGTTGTCGTCTTTTGTTTCCAGTGAGACCAACACATACAGAAACGGTGAAAGAGATTCAATTAAATGATGCAAATTTTATTTCAAAAGAGAAAAGTTGAAATTTTTAATTTCTTTGATCACTTCCTGTAACGACCGGAAGTGACGGCTGACGCTATTAACCCAAAGGGTTAAGCTTACTCCTTAAGTTCTATTACTCTTATAAGTATAGTGTCTTATTCTCTTACCGTTTCTGAGATCTCACTTTGACAAGTTCTTATTTTGCGGACAGTAAAGCACGCGACCGGAAGTGAATTTTACCAAGATATTTGACGTTACTCTAGACATTTGCAGTCTAAATAACATATCTAAAAACCATTTCAAATACTTCAACCATAAGCGATATTTATGGGAAAGTAAAATACTAAAATTATGTACTTTTTTTCACTTATAACCGGAAGTTGACGTTTTTGTTTCCAGTGGGACCAACATATTTCGAAACTGCAAAACAGATACAATAATGTGATGCAAGATTTAATTAAAATAAAAAAGTTGAAATTTTCGATTTCTTTGATCACTTCCTGTGACGACCGGAAGTAACAACTGACAGATCTAAACCAATTCTGCAAACGTACTTGTCATGATCTATCACTCGTGAAAGTTTGTTATTTTAAGCTTTTACTGTTTCTGAGATCTCGTCCGGACATGATCTGTTTTGAAAAAACGGAAATCGGACATATCTGACGTCCGGAACTGAATTTTGCAAAATCCTTCAAAATGTTTTAAGTTTATTAAATTTGTCATAAACTCTGAAAGTTTCAAGAAAATCCACCAAGCCATCTCTGAGAAATTGCTTGGACAAAAAACGGGAAAAAAATAATAATAATAATAAACAGTAGAATCACTATAAGGTCTTCCGTCTGAAACGGAAGACCTTAATAATAATAATAAGAAACAGAGTAAAAACAATATGTTCCCAAACTTCGTTTGGGGAACATAATAAGAAAAAGATTTATGAACTTAATAACTGCAAATTGAAAACATTTAATTTTTAAAATCTGCAAAAGTAATCAATTAAAAAAAAACATCAAGAAATCTGTCACCCTGAAAAATCTTTATGAGCTATGAAAACCATGGAGCACTCCAAATATGCAATATTATCTACTAAAGGTAGGAAACAAACTCCAAAGAAGGCCTGTATATTGTGAAAAGTTCTTCTCAAATATTGTTAACCATTTTGCATGAGGAGCTACGCATTTGTCTTACCAAGTTGAATTGTTTATGTGTCCAAGTGTTAAGGATCATACTGTGTAATCTAAACTTGGCACATATATAGGAAAAGGCTATACAATAGAACTCGGTTATAGCAAAGTTCTAGGGACCCCTGAATTTACTTCGCTATATCCATAATTGGTTATATCCATATAACGAATTCCTTAAAGAATATATAGCCAATTCGTAATATAGATTTTTTTCCCTTTAAGTTTGACTACCAAATGTATTTAGTGAAGTATAAAATATAAATATTACCTTGGAGTTCTAAATTTTTTGGTTAAATTGAGTTTCAAATATTAAAACTTACAAAATTATGTCAGTTCAGTATTTTAAATTTTAAAACCTATGAAAATTCGCTATAAAAGATGTAAATTGCATTCTTTTTAACGTCTAGGTGACGCAAAATCAGTTTGCTATAACCGTAAATTCGCTATATCTGAGTTCATTATATCCATTAAATTTAACAAGGAATTGTTAAGAATTTCGCCGGGGATTGCAAAAAACTTCACTATATCCGAAAATTCGCTATATCCGTGTTCGTACTAAGCGATTTTTACTGTAGTGTTGTCATTCCTTTATACCATGTGTAACAGAATGGGGTAAAATACAGTAGAATGCAGGGATAAACATTAACTTTTAGATTTACTTGCCCTTCGGGCAAGTGATCTCAAACTTTGACTTGTCCGAATGCAAAACTCAGTTGCCCAAAATAAGGAAAGAACTTCAGAATAAATTTTTATTACTGTAAATGTTATGACAAGAAAAAATGTGACCAAATACACTACTGTCAATTTGGCAAGGTGAGGTACCTGAAAAAACTTCTATGATGCATTTGTACATAAAAGTATACCACTGTCCTTGTAAATTTAGCTCGTAACACACACTGCCATATATAGCAATAACGCTCCGTTTTATAAAATTCATATTTTTAAACTTATTCTCGGTAGGATTCTTTTGTGAATCGTGATTTTCCGAGATAACTGTGAAACAATTAATGCTGAAGGAAGATAGTTGCTACGTAACATACATCGGTCTTTACCTTAATGATCAGGATACATCGTGTTACTCTGTACTTATATTCTGTGAGTGAATAAATAATCTAATATCCAAATTTCCAGAGATGTTAGACGAACAGCATATTTACCAGGGGAAAAAACGGAATAACGAACCGGATTTTCAAATGAAAGGTATAATCCAGAAATGCTGACAAGGAATTCCGAATGCAAAAACAATGTCAGTCAGGTACCTGGCGGAAATCAAGTCTTCAATTTACTGGGTTTTTTTAAATATAAATTAATGTAAACTAAATAAATATGTACATTTCTATGAGAAAAAATCACTTGCCCGATCGAACAAGTACGTCGTAAGATTCACTTGCCCGAACTGAGAATTTACTTGTCCCGGGCAATCGGACAACCATTAATGTCGATCCCTGGAATGGACTAGATATTAAACACTGGACCCTAAACCCTGGACAGGATTCCACCAACTGAGTTGTCTGGCCATGATAAATTACTTCATCTGTGCAACATATTCCTTCTTTACATTTGGTGCCAAGACCATATTCTGGATGTAACAGATGTGAGAGACCCTCACGAATAAGCCTGCGTTGGTGTTCACGTTCGTTCATCCTAATATGCATTAGCCCTTGGCAGTGTTCACCCTAGTTCTCGTTTGCCCTGAGTCGGTTTGTTCTGATTCTTGTTCACCCTAGGTCCTTTTGCCCTTTTTTAATGTTAAATTTTTATAATCATGTTTTATTTTATTGAATTGCATTTTTTCTTTTGAACCCTGCACTGTATGAATTATGATTTTTTACATTCAAGTATACAGTATAAATGGAAAAAAAAAAGAAATTCATATATGCATAAAATGAATAATTCAAATACATGATTCTTAACCATAGATTTCCATAGTAGAAAATGTTATACTCACTAAAATATTTATTAAGAACATAAGACTTTACATTACTGATAAAATTTTGTAATGATTCTTTTTATGGATATTTTTCAGTGATATCTGCAATTTCCTTACAGAAAGGTTCTTTTTTTTAAAATTGTGAACTTTTATCTGGTTATTGTGATAACATAGTTTGGGCAGCCATATGCAATTTATAGAGGATTGCGGGTACATTTTACTGCAAAAAAATTTGTTGGATAAATGTGCAATAGTCTGAATTTTCATCCAGTTGTTTTCGTAAGAGCTCGCAGTGCAAGTGGCACAAAGTGCCACTTGGTATGGTCACTATTAAAATTATAATTAAACAACTAAATCAATGAAATAGGTGAAAATAACGAACAGTGATTGATCTCAAAAAAACCTACAAACAATATAAATCTGTGAACAGAACATAAAACACTGACTCCTGGAAATTCCAGAAGTGGGATCAGGTGCCTAGTAGGAGTAAGCATCCCCTGTTATGTTTTTAATAAATAGAAATTGGAAATATATACTGAAAGGAAATACAAATTGTGTAACTATTACTGGGGATTAAATACAAAATTCAAAAAAGAATACTTAACTCAAATTCATCTTAAAGGTTAACATAATATTTATGATATTAGGATGAACAAGGCTCAGGCTAACAAGTTTTAGAGAAAACAGACTTTACAATGGGTGGATGACTCAGGCAAACAAGTACATAGGGCTAAAAAAAACCCTGCTGGAGGTAAAGCATTTGAAAGAGGAATGTGGCAATCTGGGAGATTCGTTCGCTGGAGGTTATATACCCTGGGGTCGATTTTTTTTTTCCTTTTCGTACAAATATAATAATGATACAAAATAAAATTAATCAACATGAAGACTGTTTTAACTATTATATGCTAAACCACAGATACTTGGGACTTTGGTTTATAAATATGTATACCTATGTACAAAAAACCCCTTTTTTACATATCAATAGGTATATATACATATTAATAAACCTAGACCCATGGCCCAAGTACCTGTGTGCTAAACAGGTCCAGGAAAATCACTATATTTAGCTATATAGCTTAATTTACCTATATAGCTTTATTTACCTATATAATATAGCTTTATTTAGCTATTTTAGAAGTTTCTGTTTTATGAAAAGCAAACAAAAAGTCGCATGAAAATTATGGCTGATATTTTTTTTAAAAGGTTTGATAAAAACAACCTAGATAGTAAAAACATTGCCTCTTTTAAACACTTTTTAACCAAAAAATGCATCTCTATTGTTTGGATAACTGTCCATTACTGGAAGTGCGATGAGGCATGACTAAGTGTGATTGCCTTGCATTGTGCTGAATTATTACCAATCAATTATCTTGTTGACCAAAACTGCTTTTCTTTGTTAAAGTAGCTGCTTATTCACAGATTAACTGTTATACATAGCCCCAAAACTTTTACATCTTTGATTGCAATTGCACAAAAGGAGAAACATTTTTAAAAGTGGGTTTTTGGTGAATTGTTTTCAGTCCATTTCAAAGTTGAAAACTAATACTGCCTCATTATGCGACTTTTTGTCTGCTTTTCATAAAACAGATATTTACTCTGAAATAGCTAAATAAAGCTATATAATATAGGTAAATAAAGCTACATAGGTAGATTTAGCTATATAGCTAAATATAGTGATTTTCCTAGACCTGCTAAACAGTAAACTGCTTTAAAAACCCATAAACCTATAATTGATATAAGAATCCTTTGATTCGATACAGTTGCATTAATAGCTGTCCATTCAACCTATGCCCACCTTGACAAGCCATACACCTCGTCCTGCCGCCGACAGATCAACGTTTTTTGGCTCCTGTATCTTTTCAGGCATTGACATTATTGTGGAACTCTCCTATACTCGAAAATACTAAAAGTATGCACTTCCTGTTCATTATCTGGCGGGAAAAGAGTAAGTAAGGTCCTTAGAATTGTCTCAATGAAGGACCCTCTTTATGCTAAATCAAATGTTTTTTTTTACATTGAGAAAGTTATATTGTATCAAGATGTAATTAATGAGCTTGTCCATTTCATTTTCAACATAGTGTACGTAGCAATTAATGTGCTGACCTCAGACAGCCAGCATGAACAGAAATCAATTGTTTACCTATGTGGGGAAATAGCAAATGAAGTGTTCAGTTACTAATATCTTGATCATTAAAATGTTAAGAAAATTTGAATTGATTACTACTATCATTCCAATAACAACATGTCACTTTGTTTGATGGAGTTTAAAACCATATATCTCATAGGTCATGTAGATTGGATGTTTGATTTCTGACAATGAAATGAATACTACTTTGCATATGAAACACTTCTTAACAGAGAACCCAGCAATACACTGATAATAATGACCAGTGGCACTGAGTGATTGTTCACAACTACGGCATTTGTAATGAGCAGCAACACGTGGTCAGTTGCCTATTGCTGGTTTCTCTGTTCATGATGCCAAGTAGTATGTATTTTATTGAAATCAAACAACCAATCGATGAGAAATTTGGTGATCAACATATAAAACTTTAACACGCTCTATTTAACAGTGACATGCTGTTATTGGAATGATAGTAGAACTGCATGAACATGACAGCAATTATTAGAAAGTAAAACAGGCTGTTTGACCATGTGTTGCTGTTTTCTACGTAGTAAACAATTATTCAATGTGTTCGATAGGATTGGTCAATACTCTTGATGATATTTGAAGGTTCTGTGTTTAATTTGCAAATGTAATGTATTCTATTGAAACCAAACAACCAATCGATGAGTAATATGGTGATCAACATGTGAAAGCTTGGCACGTTTGATCAAGCAAACTGACACACTGTTGTTAGAATGATAGTGAGTAATACACTGTATATTTTAATTTATTTTAATTTTTATCTAAGGGCTGATCACTAACCGGTATGCAATTACGAAATTGGCTACTAGCCAAGGAGCTAGTGGCAGTTACAAAGTTACTAACCCGAAGTCACCAGTTACTAGCCAATGTAATAACAGCAACACCTATACATGTAAAACAAAAAGCCAAAAAAATATTGTTAATTTGAAATAATTAGCAAACAATTGTCAATTTTATATATTTCATCATTAATCAATTTGTTTGGCAGCTTCTGGAGCTTCACAAATCTGTAGTGTAACCACCTAGTACATGTTTGTCACTGAACTTTTGCTGGCACTGCATATCTTGCATATAGATGAAAACAGATTGAAGATCTTGATTTGGCGATTAAGTTAACTTGTACATATTAATATTGACACTTGTACAAGGAAGAACTTTTCCTCTTGCATTTTAGATTTATTGATGAATAAAGAAATTTAATAGATAAAAATGAAGTTGTTGTCAAAGTGCTTACCACAGCTAAGTGTTTTTTTTTATCATGATAGCAAACATATGCATGCAATCTGATTATCTTTTTTTAAGGTTAATCAATCAGGGATTGAAATATATGGTAGCCTGACGCCCGAGGCTAGTCATTTTAAGACTCTGACTAGGTAATTTAAATGTAAGGATAGTCCGTCGAGCTAGCAGAATGGAAAAAATTCTTGATCATCAGTTTACTGTTAGATTTTCTATGTAGATTAGTTTCTTTTGAATGAGAAATAGTTTAATTTGTTCCTGTAACCAAAGCGTTTGAAACTTTAACTAATGTTTTCATTTTGCATAAAAATTGTTGGGCTAGTTAGTGTGGGGTTAGGGCTAGTGAATTTTTACTGATCAGTAGCCCCTGGGCTAGTGGGTTTTCCAGGAAAATTTCAACCCCTGTCATTGCAATTTTTTTCAGACTATGCATCCATTTTTTAAACCACGTGAGGCAGGAACAACATCAAAAGACTCCAAAACACCTGAAACATCTGACAAAGTTGGAAAGGGAAAGCAGAAGCACATTCCATGGGTCGAAAAATAGTAATTAATAGACAATATAGCATTCATACTAGATATAATTAAAAAGATGATGATCATCATTATATTAACACAATTTTATTGGGAGGAATGAAAAAAATATTTTCGTTTTTTGCCCAATTGAAATTTATAATTAAGATTTTAATATTAATGACAATTAATGTTTGTATATTCCATTTTTAGTCGTCCACGTTCGGTTGATGACGTAGCTTATCAGGATGAGGTTGTTGCTGTCCTTAAGAAATCTTTAGAAGGATCAGATGTAAGATCTCCAACAACTCTATAAAATCATGCTGCTTTCTCTCTCTTTTGAGTTAATATTATTATGTAAAAACTATTGCAGTTCTGACTTTTCCTTTAAACATACTTTTATGAGCCTAGATGAGAAAATGTTGAATTATTAACACACTTCTTTTTACAAAATTAATTTGAATGTAGGGTGAAGGTGTACATTTCCAGGTGCTATATTTGTCAGATATTTTATCTGTTCTCTCCATGGTTTGTATAGCTTCCTAATCTGTTGTTCTACGGACCACCAGGAACGGGGAAAACATCCACCATCCTGGCTGCTGCTCGATCTCTTTTTGGGTAAGGATTTCTGTAGACAACAATAGGTTAATCCTAGAGATCTTGTTGCTCGATCTCTTTTTTGGTAAGGATTTCTGTAGGCAACAGTAGGATAATCCTACAAATCTTATTGCTCGATCTCTTTTTTGGGTAAGGATTTCTGTAGGCAACAGTAAGTTACTCCTAAAGATCTTATTAAAATAGTTTATGGTTTTAACAATGTTCTTCAGATGACATGTTTTGCTTTTGCATTAATGTACAATACTAAATGATTTAAATACTTGTAAACCCACATGAATGAATGATATGTAAACTCATTTTATTACTTCAGCTACAAGCTAAACATACTATATTTTTATGGGAAGAAGAGAGAGATAAGGGACTAAAGAAGATACCTAAGTTAACCTGTATTCATTGTATGAATTAACATGAAAAATTATTTTTGTCAGTGAAGAAAAACATGTTTTAAATAGATATTATATCAAATTGCAAAGCAGTGTCCAGTTAATAGAAATGATTTTTTGTGTTAATGTGCTCAAAGCAATATTTTTACTACTATCATTACCATTACAGGACAGAAATGATGAAATTACGAGTTTTGGAACTGAATGCATCAGATGAACGAGGAATTAATGTCATCCGAGAGAAAGTGAAGAAATTTGCTCAGACCACTGCCAGTGGAACAAAACCAGAGTAAGATCACTTCAGATCTGAGAGTCACTCAGGTGACCTATTGCTATCTGTTTTCTATCATCGTACATTAACATTTGAACATTTTCAGCTTCTCCTCAGGAACTACACAACCAATTTTGGCATATGACATTGCGTGAAAGGGAACAAAAATTGTGAATTTCATGGTCCTTGCCCCCCCCCCCCCCCCAGGGCCTGAGGGGTTGGGCTAAAAGCATCAAAATCAATGGAATCTTTTAAAGCCTTCTTCTTTACTCCCGGACATCAAGCAGTCAAACTGTTGGCATGATTGTAATAAGCATTGAGCCCTTTACCAAAATTGTGAAAATCCTGGCTTGGGGCCATGGGTTCTGGTGCTAGGGTGGCACTCTATTAATTATTATAGTGAAAGTGCATTAATTCTTTGAAAATCTTCTCCTCTGCTCCTGGGTATTAAGCAAATGAACTTAATGCATGGTTATGATGAGCAAGGGTGCTTCTTCTGAATTTCATGACCCCATGGTCAGGAGTTCTAGTGTTAGGGTGGGGCTCTATTGATTATATAGCAAAAATGCATAAGCTTTGGAAAGCTCTTCCTCTGCTCCTAGGTATTAAGCAAACAAACTAAATGCATAATTATGATGAGCAAGGATGCCTCTTCCAAAATTGTGAATTTTATGGCCCATGGGTAAGAGGTACTGATGTTAGGGTGGGGCTTTATGATTATATTGTGAAAATGCATTAATTCTTTGAAAATGTACTATTCTGAATTGAGTGGGTATTAAACCAATGAACTAAATGCATAATTATGATGAGCAAGGATGTCTCTCCCAAAATTAAGATATGTGTCTCTCCAGGGTCAGGGGTTCCTATGAGGTGGGGGCTCTACTGAATATATAGTGAAAGATAATCCTCTGCTCTGCTTCTGGGTATAAAGTAAATGAACTAAGTGTATAGTAATGATGAGTAAGGGTGCTCTTTCAAAATTGTGAGTTTCATGGCCTCTGGTTTAAAACATGAACCCAATTCAAGTGTGGGAGTGGTGTTACATGATACTCATGTGACCTATAAGGCCCATGGGCCTCTTGATCTCAAAACTTCCTACCTTTAAGTAAAGAGAGGTACATGAATTATATATATATGTATTATTTATATGCTATTGAAATGCTTTATATGCACTGCCATATAGCCATATATGTAACCAGAGAGTAAAGTGACATGCCAATCTTTCTGTCTATCCCCCCCCCCCCCCCTTTTGTTTAGCTTAGTTTTAAAAGGAATTGTCAAGATGTCTTTATCAAACTTGAGATACAGAAAGATATTGGTGAGAATACTTCAACTCTTATAATTTTCTGATTTTGACCTATCCCTTGAGCTTAACCTTTCATTTCTTTGATGTTAACTTCCTTTGAAATGTTTTCAACAACTTGATACAAATTCTTATTGGTGAGGGCAACTAACTCGCATAGGATTTTCTATGTTCTCATTGTCATTTTTTCTCAGGATTTTGAATTCAGTAAAAGTTCATTCATGTAATTCTATGAACATATAATTGAAAGTCTTTTAATCACAGATAAATTTTCTGACATTGAAGTCCCATTCATGATTTTGGTTTGCTTTTAGCCGAAACATCTTTCACCTGTTTGACATTGTAAGAATGTATAAATAGTACGTATTATCATACAAAAGGCAACAAAAATTGCACTTATATATCAGTTTTATATGTATGAAAGATATACATTTTTTTTTCTTTAGACGTATTTAACTATTAGCTCATAAGTGGAAGAAAAGGATATACTTTGTATTACATTTTACAATATCAGTGTACTAGTGAGCTGGGTAGTCCTGTTTTGTAGACACATTTCTGGTTTTCTTTGACAGTGGGAAGCCTTGTCCTCCATTTAAGATTATTATCCTGGATGAGGCCGACTCTATGACAGCACCAGCTCAGGTTAGTGTTATACAAAAAGACATGTAAAGGGACATAAAGCTGTCAGAACTAAAAATTACATAAAGATACACAAAGTCACAATTATAATCAGTATTTGTAAGAGCTTGAGGTACATAAATGAATACAAGGCAACAGAAATTTGTATTAGTTAGAATTCTAGCCCTCATAATTAGACTGGAGTGTTCAAAATCTGAGATTTTTTGATCAGACATTAGTATTTCCAGTTGGCTAAGTCTCTTAAGAGAGTGTGTTTAATTAAATGTGCTCTGTAAAAGAAATCAAGTACATTTTTCAGTGACTAGAGGAGGACATTTGATTGATTTGATCTTTCTTTGCAGGCAGCACTGCGAAGAACAATGGAGAAAGAAAGTAAATCTACACGATTCTGTCTGATTTGTAATTACGTTAGTCGGATCATTGAACCTATAGCCTCCCGCTGTGCCAAGTTCCGATTTAAACCCCTCGCGGATCGTGTGCTCAGTGAGAGATTGGCAGAGATTTGTGACAAAGAAAACATTGCTTGTGACAAAGAGGTGCCTAGCTTGAAAAGTAGTCTTATTTTTATTCACATCTTGTTATTATAATGATATATAAGTTATTCTTTCAAGATAAGCATATCAAAATTAATCACATGAAAATTAAATGAAATCAAAATCATACATGTGATAAGTCAAAGTCCACAAAACTGTACAGGAGCCATAAAAAAAAAAAGGAATTTGGGGGGAAAAAAACTGTACGCTCCCTATCAAAAAACAGTACAAAAAAACGGTATAAAATATCACTTAAATTCTTCTGATAAGGCACCTTATTTCTAAACCAACAAATATATATTGTTGCAAAAGTCTTATTTTAAAAGTTGTAATGGAGATTTGAATGCTTTAAAATTTTATATATTGTGTTTCATAATCACAATGTTCTTATGAATCTATTATAAATTAAGCTTCTTTAGATGATAGTTTGTTTGCCAGCTTTATGTAGTATTAAGAGAGTAATATTACTGATATATACATCAGCAATGCTAAATAACAGCAGCAAATACAATTACATAAATTTCAGCACAAAAAAACTTGAAACTGTATCCTTTATTTCAGCGTAATCATGGTAATAAACATCGTATATTTTATACCTATGAAGATCTGGGTCAGATTCATGTATATTAGGTCATGTATATCAACTTTAGAAGTTGGCTCAATTTTTTTTCAATCAAGTTACCAAACATTAACAGTTATAATTAAGTACCCCTTTGAAAATAAAGCTACCTTAAGGAGTATCTTGATACGGATTTATAGCAAGATAATTATCCCAATTGGCAATTGACACCTTCACACGCGATGGTTTGTACACTACACAATTATCGGAAGGTCAAGTGTCAAACACAGGTGACGTTTTCCAGTGTCTCGCGAGCAAGAATGAGAGGAAAATGGTGGCATTTAGCGAGAAATTCAAAATACTGTACAAATTTTCATATTCTGTGAATTTTGATGTCCCGCCTGTACACGAATGGGCTCGAAAAACTGTACATTTTGCGTACCGCCGGTACATATCACATGTATGCAAAATACTTTAAAGTTAAGTATGGACTATAAAATCAATGAAATTATATACAGTCAAACTTTGTTATGAAAAATTCAATGTATAGGATTTCAATATCGAATAAATACATAAAAAAAGGTTGCTCCACCTCACTTCAACATATCCATGGTATTCAAGATTTCAAAATTTGAGATACCAAAGTTCAACTGTAACTGCTGATTTGTGACTGTCTTTCACTCTTACACAAACTTCATATAGGCTATTCAAGCCCTGATGGATACTTCAGAGGGAGACATGAGGAAAGCCATTACCTACCTACAGAGTGCTGCTAGACTGAAAGGAGATGAAGAAGTGACTCAAGGGGATGTGTACGAAATAGCAGGGGTAAGTCAGGTCAGAGCATGGGACTACAATCAAATAGAAGGGGTAAGTCAGGTCAGAGCCAAGGGGAGGGGACTACTACCAAATAGCACGGGTAAGTCAGGTCAGAGCACGGGGGAGGGAACTATGACTAAATAGCAGGGGTAAGTCAGGTCAGAGCACGGGGGAGGAGACTACAACCAAATAGCAGGGGTAAGTCAAATCAGAGCCCAGGGGAGGGAACTACAACCAAATAGCAGGGGTAAGTCAAATCAGAGCCCAGGGGAGGGAACTCCAACCAAATAGCAGGGGTAAGTCAAATCAGAGCCCAGGGGAGGGGACTCCAACCAAATAGCAGGGGTAAATCAGATCAGAGCCTGGAGGAGTGACTTCTACATATAGCAGGGGAAAGACAGGTCAGAGCCTTGGTTTGTTCAAATCTTAGGGTTGGGCTACAAATGGGGATGAAAGTTTTTACATGAGTATATTAGGAAATAAAACATTAAAAATCTTCTCAATAACAGACCATGGTTTTCCATGTAAGTAAGCAAGCATCCTCAGTTAGTGCAGATTCAAATTTGTTCAAGTCATAGCCCCAAGGGGTAGAGTGGGGCAACAATGAGAGATCAAAGTTTTACATGGAAATAGGAAAAACATCTTTTTAAAATTCTTCCTATGAAGATCATCAAAATTTTTTTGAAGAACAGTAGAACCCAGGTGATTCAGGTGAGTGTTGTGGCCCCTGGGCCTCTTGTATGTTTTTTGTTGCATAATGATGCATGTAAAGAAAGATTTCAGAAAAGAACTATATTATTGATGATGAATTTCCTTGATTACAGGTGATTAAAGATGATAAAATTGATCAGTTAATCAAAGTTTGTCACTCCAACTCTTATGAGAAACTAGAAAAGATGGTTCAGGTAAGAAAAGACCTTTTTTCTTCAATTCAACATGAACATAAACAAGACGAGCTTATGCTAACACCCCCACCCCACCCAACCCAGATGTTCAGCTTTAGTGTCTTTGATTTTCTGAGCAATTCCATTCCCAAGTAACTATAAGCCCTATGGTGGCCAAACTTGCTTGGTTGATGCATCTTGGGATGACTACCAGAGATGGGGATACCAGAGATGGAGATAGGGATGCACACTACTAAAACATTTCTTTGTTGAAAGAATTTGTATTTTTTGTAATTTTATGCCTGTGAACATACTTTTTTCCACAGGGTCATAATTCAACGGTGTCACAATTTCTGTTTAATCCGTAGGTAGTAAATTATGTAGATTTCTTGGATTCTTTGTCTTAAACTCTGTGGCAAATTTCTGCTGAAAATGTGGGACCGTGTACATAGCGTTTATTAATCCCACACAGAAAAAAGTATGGCTACAGTATTTGATTAATCTTTAAAAATAAGGAGGTAATAACTTAGAATGACTGCAAACAAAAGTTCGAGGCAGTATACAATAAATAAAAGCTATATCTAATTTTATCCCTTACAAGGGAGAGGCATCAGAAACTTGACTGTCTTTCTTTATGTATTTTTATAGCTTTGTTATAAAAGTTGTGTATAATCAGGGTATGTCTTTAGAACTGAACCAAGTAAATATGTGCAAGGTCACAAGAATTGGCTGATATGCTCAAAGTATTTGTTATTGATATAAGAAATGGATCATTACAAATGCAGAAAAAGTGGATATTGATTGAAAAGATGATTCTGGGTTGAAAGATCAAATATCATTTTACAGACGGTTTCAAATCTAGAATTCTGATCTGTACTGTATATCATATAAGCTGTTTTGAGTTTGAAACTTCAGAGAAATTATTCATTATAGGACAGTTAAGTTCTGTTCTTATCACAAGGTATATACTTACAGGAGATGATATATGAAGGACATTCAGCTGCCCAAATAATTACTCAACTTCACGACAAAATTGTACAACGAGAGGACCTGAATGATCAACAGAAATCAGTGACATGCGAGAAACTCGCAGTAAGTTTAAAAAGTATTTTAAAATATAAATGGCAGACACAGAATTATTTGTTTGTTTGTGTATTGTTTAACGCCCCTCTCGAGAATTTTTCACTCATATGGAGACGCCATCACTTGCCGGTGGAGAGCTGCAAATTTTGTCCTATACTTGGCACGTACGGCCATTGAGCAGTGAGGGGTCTTTTTCGTGCCAGCACCTACTGCGACACTGGACCTAGGTTTATACGGTCTCATCCGAAGGACCGGTCTCCACGTCCCACAGTAGGATTCGAACCCGCGACGTAAGGATCAACTCCTTACTTCGCGACTCTAGAGCAGACGCTCTAACCACTGTGCCACTCAGGCGACGACACAGAATTGAAAAGAGAACAGCAGCTACATGAAACCACTTTTAAGTTAAAGCTGTATCTATTGCAATGAGATTATTAAAAATTTTTGTGGCACAACAAACTTAGGTAGCCTTATGTGCTGGCACCACATTGCCAGGCAATGTTGATATCAACACATGATACTTGCAATTGTGTTTTCATATAAGAGGAAAAAAAGCAAAAATGAATATGAATTTTTATATTGTGATATATTGCAATACAAAATATAATATTGCAATATATCGCAATACAATTTTTCAGTAGTGATACACAGCACTAATAAATGGTTACATTTTGCATTTTGATGGAATAGACAAATGAAATTAATTCAATCTGTATATCTTCAACACTGATAGTTTTGAGTAAGAGAGTCTCAAAGAAATCAGGTTCTTGACAGTTATCCATTGACTTCAATTTGTTGATAGTATCTGTTGATTTCAGCTTAATAAAATTTCAGATTGTTAACAAATGTATATTTCCAGAATGTTGATATTCTGGATTGTTGACAAGTGTCATATTTGATGGTTGTTGGCAAGTGTTATTTCCAGGTTGTAGACAAGTTTCCTGTATTTCCAGGTTGTTGACAGGAGTCTTGTATTTCCAGGTTGTTGAAAGGTGTCTTGTATTTCCAGGTTGTAGACAAGTGTGTTATTTCCAGATTGTAGACAGGTATTTTGTATTTCCAGGTTGTAGACAATGAATGTTATTTCAAGGTTGTTGATAAGCATCTGTTATTTCAAGGTTGTTGGCAAGTGTTATTTCTGTGTTGTAGACAGGTTTCTTGTATTTCCAGATTGTTGACAAATGTTTTGTATTTCCATATTATAGACACATTATTTCCAGGTTGTTAGCAGGTGTCTATTATTTCCAGGTTGCTGACAAGTGTTATTTACATGTTTTTGACAGGTGTCTTGTATTTCCAGGTTGTTGACAGGTGCTTGTTATTTCCAGGTTGTTGGCAAGTGTTATTTCCTTATTGTAGACAGATTTCTTGTAAATTACAGGTCATTGACAGGTGTCTTGTATTTTCAGGTTGTTTTGACAGGTGTTTTGTATTTCCAAGTTCTTGACAGGTTTTTTGTACTTCTTGCTTGTTGACAGGTTTCTTGTATTTACAGATTGTAGACAAGTGTCTGATGGATGGAGCTGATGAGTATCTTCAATTGATGGCCCTATTTACCACTATGATGAGGGAGATTTGTCGCTGACCATGAAGGAACACTGTAAATAGTTACAAAACTTTCATCTCGTGATATGTGGACGGGGAAACGAAAAGTGAATAGGAATCTCAGTTTATATATTGATTCATATCTAACTAGAAATCCTTGTCCCAAGACCTATTGTGACATACTGCTAGTTGTACAAGCTTGATCAGTGAGAGACTTGGAACTGATCATTTTTAAAGTGGAAACTGAACTGATTGTGTACTTTGAAAGTAAAATTATTAGGATTATTAAAATATATTTAAAATTTAAATTGTTTTTATAGCAGCACCTGACACCAGGGTAGGGTTAGATTTGACATATATTTCATTTAATTATAGCTTTGAAAATGTACTTTAGTCAAATCATCTTGCAGGCTAACTGGTTGTATGGTTATAATGAAATGTCCAGAAGTGGAGAAGACTTCTGAAGATGGCATGAATTATGTTGGTTTTGACCACATCCTTTGGTCCCCTTTTTATTTGGTTATAATGAGGTGTCTAGGAGTATTAAAGAATTTGAAAATGGCAAAGATTTTGATGGGTTTGGTCATAGCCCTCAGATCTCATAAAGGGTGTATTGGGAATATCAAAAGATATGACCTATAGGAGAGAACAATTTCCCGGAAAAAGTCGCATTTAAAAATCAATGATCATTAGTTTTTTTACTACCATATATATGTCTAAATTTATTATTTACAAGTCAACTTTAAAGTTAACCTCCAGAGCTGGCCAAAACAGAATTTTGTCCGTTAAAACACTGATTTTTGTATGAATTTTGGCCTAGGAGTCCTTCAGGGCAGGCTTGCCCCTAAATAACATTATGATATTTTGATGTAAGGAATAATTTAAGATAGGAATTTTTTAGGGGCACCCCTGCCCTAGGGTCAAAATCCACAAAAAACCTACTAAAAATAAGGGATCCTGTTTTTGAAAATCTGATTCACATTTATACCTGTTATATTAAGCCAGAATAGCTCCATTGGTAAAACAGCTAAGTAAATAACACAGTAGATATTTTTATGCCCCCGGATCGAAAGATCCCGGGGGTATATTGTTGTTGTCCTGTCTGTCTGTCTGTTGTCAACTTTAACCTTGCCCATAACTTTTGATTGGTTGGAGCTATGACTTTCATATTTCACATGTGTATTCCTTGTGACAAGACCTTTCTTTGGGTACCATCATACTTGACCTTTTGACCTTGACCTTGGAGTTTGACCCACTTTTGCAAAATTTTATGAGACTTTAATCTTGGCCATAACTTCTGAACAGTTGGTGCTTGGGGTTTCAAACTTCACATGTGTATTCTTTTTGACAAGGCCTTCCTTTGGATACCAGCAACTTTGACCTTTTGACCTTGACCTTGGAGTTTGACCTACTTTTGAAAAACTTTAACTTTGGCCATAACTTCTGAATGGTTGGAGCTAGGGCTTTCATACTTCACATATGTAATCCTTGTGACAAGACCGTTCTTGGACACCAACCACTATGACCTTTTGACCTTGACCTTGGAGTTTGACCTACTTTTGAAAAACTTTAATCTTGGCCATAACTTCTGAATGGTTGGAGCTAGGGCTTTCATACTTCACATATGTAATTCTTGTGACAAGACATTCCTTTGGACACCTACCACTATGACCCTTTGACCTTGACCTTGGAGTTTGACCTACTTTTGAAAAACTTTAACCTTGGTCATAACTTTTGAATGGTTGGAGCTAGGGATTTCATACTTCACATATGTAATCCTTGTGACAAGACCTTTTTTTGGATACCAACCACTTTGACCTTTTGACCTTGACCTAGGAGTTTGACCTACTTTTGAAAAACATTAACCTTGGCCATAACTTTTGGATGGTTGATGCTAGGGCTATCATACTTCACATATGTAATCCTTGTGACAAGACCCTCCTTTGAATACCAACCACTTTGACCTTGACGTTTTACTTACATTTAAAAAACATTAACCTTCGCCCTAACTTTTGAACAGTTGCAGCTAGGTCTTTCAAATTTCACAGGTATATTCCTCGAGACAAGACCTTTCTTTGGGTACCAACATTTTTTTTATATTTTGGCCTTGATTTTGACTTGCATTTGAGAAACTTTAACCTTCGCCATAAGCTGCCATATGGGGGCATCAGTGTTTCACAAACACATCTTGTTTTAGAGCCATGGTTTGAATCCACCTAATGCCACACTTTTTTGCTTTAAATTCTTGCCTTTTCAAAGTTTTTATAGGGTCTTGAGTATTTTCCTTCAATTATCTATCTTTTACGCATGTTCATTCTTGATATTAAAGACGCTAAAGAGAAAGCAATCGTAAATTCCACAGTCAAGTGGAAATATACCTCTGTATAGCACACTTTCTTTGAGGACAAGAATTATTCACTTTGTGTTACTTGATAGAGGTATTCTCACCTGCAATGAGTTGCGATGGATTTCTATTGTATAATATTTCTTAGAATTTAATCACTTCAGTGGATTACATTGCTTTAATTCCGTCTGTACTACTGTACTAGTATTCATCTGCGTTTTTGCACTGAAAGGTATAGGTACTGCTTGTATTTATTATCTGAGCTTGATATATTCTGAAATACATGCATGCACTGACTCTGAGTCAGTGTTCTAAATTCAGATCTCAAGTTCAACAGTAGGATGACATATTAGTATCTGCACTCCCTTGAATTTCATTTATTTAATTTGTATACATTAATGATGTGTTTTTAGCTCACCTGAGCTGAAAGCTCAAGTGAGCTTTTCTGATCACCCATTGTCCGTCGTCCGTCCGTCTGTCTGTCTGTCCGTCCGTCCGTCTGTAAACTTTTCACATTTTCAACTTCTTCTCAAGAACCACTGGGCCAATTTTAACCAAACTTGGTACAAAGTATCCTTGGGTAAAGGGGAGTTTAAATTGTTAAAATAAAGGGCCAAGTCAACCTACAAGGGGATATAATCAAGAAAAGACAAAAATAGGGTGGGGTCATTAAAAAATCTTCTTCTCAAGAACCACTGGGCCAAAAGAGCTGAAACTTGTGTGGAAACATCCTGGGATAGTGTAGATTCTAAATTGTTAAAATCATGACCCCCAGGGGTAGGGCGGGGCCACAATAGGGAATTCAAATTTTACATTGAAATATATAGGAAAAATCTTTAAAAATCTTCTTCTCAAGAACCACTGGGCCAGAAAAGCTAAAACTTATAGGGAAACATCAGGGGGTAGTGCAGATTCTAAATTGTTAAAATCATGACCCCCGGGGGTAGGGCGGGGCCACAATAGGGAATCCAAGTTTTACATTATAATATATAAGAAAAATCTTTGAAAATCTTCTTCTCAAGAACCAGTGGACATGAAAAGCTAAAACTTATGTGGAAGCATCCTGGGGCAGTGTAGATTCTAGATTGTTCAAATCATGACCCCCAGGGGTAGGGCGGGGCCACAATAGGGAATCCAAGTTTTACATTGAAATATATAGGAAAAATCTTTAAAAATCTTCTCAAGAACCACTGGACCAGAAAAGCTGAAACTTATGTGGAAGCATCCTGGGGTAGTGTAGATTCTAAATTGTTCAAATCATGACCCCGGGGGGTAGGGCGGGGCCACAATAGGTATTACAATGGGGGAAATCTGGTAAAGAACAGCATGGCCAAAGTTACTCAGGTGAGCGATGTGGCCCATGGGCCTCTTGTTATTATATCCAAGGAGATGTGCTTTCCAAAATTAACACATATCAAGAAAAAAAGAACTCTATAGACATTACCATTATTTACAATGAAAAGTAAGGGAAAACGAGATGTGTTTGTGAAACACTGATGCCCCCGTATGGCAGCTTATGGCGAAGGTTAAAGTTTCTCAAATGCAAGTCAAAATCAAGGCCAAAAGATAATAAATATTGGACCCAAAGGAAGGTCTTGTCTTGAGGAATATACCTGTGAAATTTGAAAGCCCTAGCTCCAACTGTTCAAAATTTATGGCGAAGGTTAAAGTTTTTTAAAAGTAAGTAAAACATCAAGGTCAAAGTTGTTGGTATCCAAAGGAAGGTCTTGTCACAAGGATTACATATGTGAAGTATGAAAGCCCTAGCACCAACCATTCAAACGTTATGGCCAAGGTTAAAGTTTTTCGAAAGTAGGTCAAACTGCTAGGTCAAGGTCAAAGGGTCAAAGTGGTTGGTAGTGGTTGGTATCCAAAGGAAGGTTTTGTCACAAGGATTACATATATTAAGTATGAAAGCCCTGGCACCAACCGTTCAAAAGTCATGGCCAAGGTTAAAGTTTTTCAAAAGTAGGTCAAACTCCTAAGTCAATGGCAAAGTGGTTGGTATCCAGAGGAAGGTCTTGTCACAAGGAATACACATGTGAAGTTTGAAACCCCAAGCACCAACTGTTCAAAAGTTATGAGTATGACCAAGGTTAAAGTCTCATAAAAGTTTGCATAAGTGGGTCAAACTCCAAGGTCAAAGTCAAAAGGTCAAATATTATGGTACTTAAAGAAAGATCTTGTCACAAGGAAATGGGTGAAATATGAAAGTCATAGCTCCAACCAATCAAACGTTACGGGCAAAAAGTTTTTGTGGACAGACAGACAGACAGACGGACAGGGCAAAAACTATATACCCCCGAATCTTCGATATGGGGCATAAAAATTAAATAACATTTCAAGATAACAAACTCGTACTTCATAGTTAATGTCTTTGGAAAGGTTCTTCTATACATACCAAAATAAAATGTTTTATTGAGAAACAAATTATTACCTGTATCTAGCCTAAAGTCATTGACAAGAACAGAAGTCGGCAAGCTTTTTGTAAAGATTAAAACAAATCCCGGCCCTATAGGTCCCAGCTCTATTTATATAGAAGTGTTCCTTCTTGTTCCCCTTCTTTCAGAGACATATTGAAATTTCTTCAGACTTTTCACAAAGGAGGGTGAAAGATTTCTAAAGGTTCAAATTGCTACAGAACAATGGCATTAGCTAACTAGGTCACCTGAGTCATTTAATTGACTTAAAAATATGATATAACAAATTTATAGATTATAAACCAGACACTTAAACCTGTTAGCACCTTTACTGATTCTGAAAGTTTTGTTTTAATCTGTGTGGCAGTCATGTGTTCCTAGTTTCTGTCATTTATACATAGTTCATGTATTGACAATAAGCTCAGACTGAAATCTAAATGTACATGCTTTTGTATTGGTGGATCCTTGTAACCCATATCTAACCTAGTTGATATTCCTCCTGAAATATCGTCCTACCGTATATACTCGCCTGTAAGTCGGTCCGCCTATAAGTCGGTTGTATATTTTAAGCTTGCATTAAATGGATTGATCTGCTATAATACCAATATTTTTTATAACTCGCCTACAAGTCGGGCAAGGATTTTTGGACCAAAGTTTAACTCCCCAAAAACCGACTTGTAGGCGAGTATATACGGTACTTATACTGGGGTAATGACCCAGTCTCTCCCCAATGTCTGTATTTTTTAGTTTATAGCTTACTTAAATGTGACTGAGTCATTTTCTCCATGCCTTTGAGTTGAGTATCATCCTGTGAATTGAGTAGAATTGAAGGAGTCGAATACTACTCTGTCAGGCGAGACGGAGGTGAAACTTCTAAAAATAGCTGGAGAAAGCCATACAAGATTCCTGAAAATAGATAACTAAGGTCAGTAAAATGTTGATATTTAGAAACTGATGTCAAAATACCATCACAGCTTAGATTAATGTAAGGAGTGGCCTAATTATAAGGTGGTATTTATAAAGTCTAGAAATTCTACATTTTTTTATGTCAAATGAAAGAGTGACAACCTTTATTAAATGCAGACGTACAAATTAGGTCAGTGAAAACAAAAAAGATAAAATGCCATGTTATCTCCAGGCTGATCTCAGTTGGAAGCATGACCTTATTTAAAGGGGGCATTTCAATTGGTGAAGATTACGGAATGTGTAAATTTATTAATGATTTTGATCGCCTTTTCAAGTTACCTGTGTCATTGTTTAACATTTTGAACAAAATCGTTTTATCAGTGGATTTAGGCCAATTAACATCAGATATGTTCAACTAGGAACAATATATGATTAAATGTTGAATAATCTGGAATACCAAGAAATGTGGACAATATGTCTTTCATGCCAGAAAAAAGAGGTCCATGGGCCACAATGCTTATCTAATTTTTAAAAAAAAATTGAATCCACACAACGGGGATGTTTGCATTTTAATACAATTTGGTGTGGTCCTGCTATTTTTGAAAAGATTTTCCCTCTAGGTTCCCCTGTAAAACTCTAATCCCCTTATATAGCCCCACCTTACTCTGCTGGGGGCCATGTTTTGACCTATTTTTGATATTGCATGGTTATGTCTAAATATTTCGGATAATAAAAGGCTTAGAAATATCAAACTTTGGCAGTTGATGCATCTTGGGTTTTGAAAGTTTGTCAACTAAAAAGTAGGTCACCATGATCTATTTCAAATAATGAGAGATTAACAATCATCAAACTGTCAGTTGATGTATCTTGAGTTCTTAACGTTTGATGAGCCATGAAATATCAAAAGTAGGTCACTGTGACCTATTTTTTTTTGCTCTTTCTAAATAATTAGGGCCCCGCAGGGATTTGCAGGTGCCCTATAGTAATCACTCTGTCATTCTTCCGTCCACAAATTTTCTGTTTTTCTCTAATAACTTTTTAGCTCAACTGAGCCGAAGGCTAAGTGAGCTTTTCTGATCACATTTTG